GAAAATTTCGTAAGAAACAAGGAAGAGTGGACTGAACTGTTATATAACATCAGTCCTCCTATATGGAAGTGAAGGCTGGACAATCTCCCCACAGATGAAGAAAAGACTTGAAGTAACAGAAATGTAATTCTACAGAAGGATGCTGAGAATACAATGAACTGAACATGTGAGCAACGACAAAGTTTTAGAGAAAATGGAAACAAAAAGGAAACTTATACATAACATGAGAAAGAGACAGTTGAAATTTCTAAGGCGTATAATGAGGACAGACGGGTTGGAAATTTTAATACTCACAGGACAGATTGAAGTCATGCGGGACAGAGGAAAACGGTGGATAACCTACCTAACGACCTTATGTAAATGGATGAGGGAATATGGTTTAGGAGTGATAACAAAAAATCAAATTCACTAAGTAGTACAAAAGACAGGACATTGTGAAGAGCCATGATCGCCAACGTCCTGAAGGGACATGGGACATAGAAAAATAAGTGTCAGTTATTTTCTGTTGGTTTCCCTGCTTAGGAAACATTTAGAGTCTTTCTTTTTATAATTGTTATACTATTTTTAGATGATTGAATAATGTCTATTGTTTAAAAATAGATGACATGTCTGTATAGATCATTGAATAGTGGTCCACATATTTTTGTCATGCTTTTGTGTCTGTAATGCGAACAATAGTTCCAAGTTGACGTCATGAAGCATTAAAATACTAAATTTATCAAAACTGATTTATTCTTTATTAATCAAATATTTCATCATCTGTTTTAATTTTATCTCTTGAACAAATGCGGTTGAGTGTGTTTGTTCTATGCATGCGCACGCGCGAATTCAAGCGAAAAACCGGAAACTAGTTTCTTCTTCCGGCCATTCCTTTGTGGGTGTTGTTACTCTTTCTTTTTCTTTTTTTTTGTTCGCTTCGTCGTTTTCCTCCTCACCCTTCCGTATCAGTGGATAGTTTTCTTTATTTTTCCTTTTCCTCTTCGTCTTTTATTCTCTTTCACACTTTCTCTCTTTCTCTCTCTCTCTCTCTCTCTCTCTCTCTTGATTCTTTCTTTGTCACTTCTTTCTTTTCTTGTCACCCTTTGCTTCCTCCTCCTTTGATTCTTTTCCTTTTCTTTCTTTGACCTCTTCTGTTTTAATTTTCTCTCTCCTTTTTTCTCGTTTTTAAGTATCTCTTTCTCCTTATTTTCTCGCTAACTCTCTCTCTCCCCCTCTTCGCCTCACACCTACATTTTCCTGTCCCTTTCACAGCATTTTTCAATTTCTCTACCGTTCCCCTTTTAATCTTTCATTCTATCTCTTTCTTTTCTCTTCCTTTCACACCTCTTTTTTTCATTTTCGCCATTTCACTCCTTTTTTCACACGATATCACTTTCATGATTCTTTTCTTCTTTTACTCTCTCTCTATTTCAAAAGACATTTTTCTCTCTCCCTCTCGAACCTCTGTTTACTTCCACTTTTTTTTCTCTCTCTCTCCCTCCCTCCTACATACAACTGTTTTATCTCTCGCACGCTTTCACATTTCTTAATCTGTCATTTTTCTTTTTTCTTTCTCTCCATCTTTCACCCCCCCTCTCTCTCTCTCTCTCTCTCTCTACCTTGTTCTTCTCTTTCACTTATCCTTTTTTCACTTCCCTCTTCTCATATTTTCTCTTGCGCGCTTTCACACACCTTTTTTTTTCTCTCATTTTTACAATTTTTTTCTATCCGTCTGCTACCTCTTTCTCTCTTTCTCCATTTCAGCCATTTTTCTCTCTCACTCTCTCTTTTTCTGTTTCATTTATCCTTCTCTCTCTCTCTCTCTCTCTCTCTCTTTCTCTGTCCCTATTAGCTTCACCTCTTCCTTTTTCCTACCAACATTTCTGCCACTTTTGTACTACAAAACTATTATCAAACAAACTTTTATAAACAGCACTAAACATTCTAACCATTTTCACAAAGTTCCCTTTTTTTTGGCTCTTCCAAACAACAAACCCAGTGTGTCTGCCAGAAAGGAACAGATGAGATTAAAGGCTTCATTATACCAATATATACAGACGCAGGTCAGCAGGAAGACTTAACCTTATGAATAGATACTGACTCGCTCTATGTGTACACTTACCAAAGTCAACATAGCTTGATTTATATATTTTGATTGCATCGACCGTAAAGCAGAACGTTTCTATTTATCCGCGCTTTTTTTTTCAACAGATTTCTTGGTCGAAATAACGCTAACATTGCGTGAAATAAAAATAACTTCCGATGGTGTTCGAACTCGCATCCTATACAGTATTATTATATTATTAGATCGAAAGACTCTCCAACCATTAAAGTTTTCCGATGAGGCTTGAACTTCCGCCCAATACCGTGATATCAAATTCTAACCAATCTTTTTTTTTTTTCATTTAAATATTGCTTTTTTATTTCAAGATCGAAAGACTCTCCAACCATTAAAGTTTTCTTGAAATAAGGAGTAACTTCCGATGGGGCTTGAACGTTCGCCTATTATCAAATTCTAACCAGTATTTTTTTTATTTTACGATTGCTTTTTATTTTCTCGAACAAAATACCTTCTAACAATTAAAGTAACGTTGTGTAGGAATAAATTTGGAGATTTTCATCGAGACTTTCCCGATGTGATCAATAACCAACTACACCCCCATAAATGATTACACTATAGGTAGTAAGTACCTATAAAGTCAACTGTCTACGTGAGACTCAAGGGAGAGTGAGCGCTAGACGACGCAAGCACGTCCGACTTTCCAATTAGTGGCACTCACTACTAGATTGACCTGTGTGTATAACTGTACCGTATTTCATATTGTACTGGTTGTGTACAATAAACCTTTCTTCTATTATCCACCTGGTGTTAAGTATTTATTCCCTTAGCACGGAATATAACAACCTTAAATATAATATCATAATAGATCATATATGAAAAAGTATTCAATATTTCTTGCAAGCTTATTTTTTATCACATTTTGTTTGGGGTTCGGTTTTGAAGAAACCTCTTTTTCATCCTGAAACATCTTGTAGGAATGCAAAAAAGCGATTATCTCCCTTTGGTTGAGATGAACTCGCGAGTCTCACGTGACGGCCGTTGAGTGACGTCCGATCACAGACAGACGAAAGCGGTCAGTTTTTAGTTAACCCTCTGGAGGCAAGATGTGCAGTTGCTTTTTTTTTTCAGCACGAAGAAGCTGCCAGCTGTCATGTGGATTGCATACAAACCCGTTGGAAGAAAAGTCTTCACCAGAAATATAGAAAATATATCCGGCCCGTTCGAATAAATATGGCTGCACCACATGTCCTTGCCGTTGGGAATTATGGCTTCACTAGAAACATAGAAGAATCTTCCGGCAGCACGAATTCCCGTTGAGAATTATACCAAGTAAGATCATATGTCTTGTCACCGTTACACACTGCTTGTTGTTGTATATATGTGTTACAGTTTCTCTGTGTGTATATAATTTTGTGTATGACTTAGAAGTACAAGAATCTCTTTGAGAACAAAGCATCTTTGTCATTCCTTTCTTTCATCTACTCTGTTCCATCAGTGTATTAAAGTGTTATTATATCGTGGGTATAATAATGCCTATAATAGGGAACTGAAAATTGACAATCTTCCTTTCTTACATAGCACCCCATCAGTTTGCTATGCCCCCCTAAAATACAATGATTCAACTATGGAAAGCTCTGTAGCGAGTGTAAAACAGTTCACTGATTTGTAGGGAGATCATAGGCGACGAACACAGAGATAGAGGGTAGATTTTCTTCATTACAGCAGGAATTCACAAAGTGAAATTCTCCTTTGACTAGTACATATAATATGCAAGTAGAGGAGATGGGCGTTGTGGTTTAGATGAATGGGCGGTAAGAGTGTATAATCTTTTTCATCTTTATCTTGATTTAATGAACGCAGTTAACGGGGCCATACGCTGACGTTCGATCCCTGGAAAATCACGGAGGAAAAAGATGAATAGTCTCGTTTTGGAATTCTAGTATCGAGGTCAGCTGATAAAGGCCTTTCAGTTTCCTAGCGTTATTTTTATTTTTTTATTTTTTGCATGGGTTCATGAATCCAGTGTGGATTCCTTTTATTTGTGTTTTATTTATTTATGCCTTTTATAACTGTCAGCTGATTACGACTCATGCTGAGGCCTTGCTATTGAGCTATGAACAACACATTCATCTTTTACTACTGAAAGTTCATCCTCGTAGAATGTGCCATGTTTGTGACGACATTAGATTAATTAAGCTTAATTTTTTTTTAAATTTAGGGCGCCTATTAGAGCAATGGTTATTGAACTAGTCTTACAGACTTACTAAAGCGGGTTTGATTCTCAGTGTAACCTATATTTATAACTTTGCACCAAACTAAATGTCTTTTATGTATCGTCTTCCTGTAAAACGTGAGGTTATGGCTCTCCGTAATCTCCTGTTCCTCGTATCCCGTTTGATCATTTGCTAGGCCTCCCAATCTCCGTTCCTTCATCCATTCACACGAGCTCGTCAGGCAGATGAGACCGCGACCTTCCCCCGTTATCGCTTTGTCTTGTGAGTGTCAAATTCTCCAAATCCCCTGCCCTCATTATGTCCCAAAAATATCTGTTGTCTCGTTCTGATTGTGAATATAAAATGTCCTTTTTCCTTCTATTTTCCTTAAGGCCTGTTCATTTCTTACTCGCCCCGACCACGGTGTTTTCAACATCCTTTTACAGAACCAGATTTTCTGTTTCTTTCGCTTTTCTGATTTGATTGATTCGTTTTCTACGGCTTAACCCTTTGCAGATTATTTCGAGTCAGAAAATAGTTTTAGATTGCAAGAATCTTTCTTTTTAGATAATAATGATTTAGTGATACAGGTTTTACTAATTAACCCATAGCTGGGGGATGTGGATTCTTACCTTTCCCAAGGTTATTTGCGCGTAAATAAATATAACGAACTCAACGGAATTGAAATTTGTCTCTCCGATTAACAATTGCAAGCCATTATACATTACACCGTCCGCACATCCAAGCTGACGGTACTTGATATTTCCAAGCGGTCACCCATCTAAGTACTGACCAGGCTCGACGTTGCTCATCTTAGGTGATCGTACAAGAACCGGTGTTTCAACGTGAATGCAGCCGGAAACTCTTCGGTTTTCTCTTCATCTGTGAAGCATTTATTTTTTCTTTGTTTCTAACGAAATTTTCCTGTTTCTTAATACTTTGCTTAGATTTTAGAAGGCATATTTTGCTATTCGGATATACCTTCGGATTTAGGTGTCACATTTTCCTTCCTCTTTTAAAACTCTTTTCAAATAGTTAAATTTCTATACTTTCAAGTCAAACTCATTCGTGTTCGTCAAAAAACTATATTCAGTGATTCTTTCAAACTTTTCCTTCTTTTTTATGTGCTATGGCCCATCAGGAGGTAGGCGATTATGGCTCTCCACAATTTCTAGCTCTGAATAAATTTTGTCTTTTTATTATTTCTCCTAAACCTTGTTCTGCCATCCATTAGTGAGCTAATGGATGTTATGCTCACAAAGTATGTTATGCGCTGTTTTCCTCTTGCCCTCAATCTGTTCTGTAAATATTAGATTTTCCTCATTATGTGCCCTAGAAATTCAAACTGTCTCTTCCTGTTGTTAAGTATAAGTTTCGTTTTTGTTTCCATTATCTCTAAAACTTCGTCGTTGCTCACATATTCGGTCCATGATGTTCTCGGAATCCTTATGTAAATCTATATTTCTGTTACGTCAAGTTTTCATTTTTGAGGAGAGTGTCCGGTTTTCACTGCCATATACGAGGATATATATCACGTACTCTTTTCTTTGTTTCTGTTATTTTTATCAAATTTTGTTTGATATCCTCTTTTTGAACAGAACATTTCTTACACTCCCCAAAACTGTTATTTGACTACCGAATGATACATAAGTGGTTAGAAAGTTCGCTTTCCGACCATGAAACCTAGGTTCGAAACTCACCACGGCCGATTCGTTAGGAAGGTGATTTTTTTTTTTAAAGCTATCAGTCTGGGGAAGTGATCTCAGTATGCAGCACCTATTGAAAGTACCTGAAAACCGTTGACCCAATCCTTGCGAATTGAATTGAGGTAGATGGAACTGTTTGGAACCCGTCGATGGTTTGAAACTGTTTGGAAGCCACCGATGGTTTGAAACTGTTTAGAACCCATCGATGGTTTGAAACTGGAAGCCGCCGATGGTTTGAAACTGTTTGGAAGCCGCCGATGGTTTGAAACTGTTTGGAACCCGTCGATGGTTTGAAACTTTTTGGAACCCTTTGATGGTTTGAAACTGTCCGGAAGCCACCAATGGTTTGAAACAGTTTGAAAGCCGCCGATTGTTTGAAACTGTTTGGAAGCCGCCGATGGTTTGAAATTGTATGGAACCCATCGATTGTTTTTAAACTGTTTGGAACCTGTCGGCTGTTTTAAATTGTTTGGAAATCGTCAAAATAGTCCCAAGTTATCGTAACCTACAGTAGAAAGTTCGATATACAGTAGTATAAAACTTTAGAAATGAAAAATTGTTTACCCAAAGTTTCATAAAGTTTTATTTTAACTATTCGTAAGTTTTTTTTACTGCTTCAAAGAAAACAAGTTTCTCTTGATTGTGGTAGAAATGGTTTCCGTATTTAATTTATAGTACGATTTTTTGAAAGGGCAGTGTTGTAAGACAATTATTGTTTAACAAGTGAGAATATATAGTGCTTGGGTAAAATGTACTTTTGTTATATTTTAAGCAAAAACTAATATCTATTTAATTTAAAGAATTTTTTTTCGATATACTATATACAAATGCCTTGTGTCTGACTAGGGTAAGCTTAGTACAAATTGATACAGAATAGGAAATACCAAACCCATAAAAGCGCTATTGCCTACTTTCTTAAAAATAAAGCCAAACTGATTCGCGTTTGGCAGAAATTCATTTACAGACGGGATTTAATTCTTTGTACGGTCGATCGTTAATGTTTGATCGATGAGAATCAAATTCGAGGCGCCTATTTCGATCAATCTATCAACGGCTGCCCCGTTTTCCTCTTTCATAAATGTATCGACTCGTCCGCGTAGCTGACGAGAACAGCTAAATTATTAAGCGATAATTAATCAAGAAAATATCCGCATATTTATATAAGAACGGAGGCAAAGGCATCTGTATATGCAAACATTCATATGTAACAATACAGACACACAAATATTGATAGATACGAAGAGGTCCCGAAAAGTTTTCATTCCGACCTACTTTCCGAAATATTGTTGGGTTCGTGGAATTTTAACTATTTTATGTCAAAATCTGCTTTTTATTATAGTAGAGTTTATAGCTGAATATTGGTATGTTTTATAATTGAGTCTATATAGGTAAATATTAGTTAATTACATACTTGAGTCTATAAGCAAACAATGATATACTTGAATACATAGTCAGACATTGCTTGTGTTTATCTTAGTGTCTATAGGTAAATATTATTTGGAACTATACTTGAGTGTATATCTAAATCTGGGTCGGATTTTCAAGGAAGTCTGCCAGAAATTAACCGGAAATGTCCTTTTTTGAAAGGAGGGATCTTACACTCCGATAGAGTATAGTCAGTGTTTTCTAGGCCCTACTGATAATACATCGAAATATGACGAAATTTCATATTTTTTATAAATGTTTCCTTTTTTTTATTATTATTAATCCTTTCTTGCTCGGACAAAAACATTTCAACACCCCGTCATATATATATATATATATATATATATATATATATATATATATATAATATTTATTTAAAAAATATGATTCCAACTCGCGACATAAGAGGTCTCATGTTTCAAAACAAGAGCCGAAAACTTCAATATAATTATTTGAATTAAATTGAGTTAAAAGTGAGCTCTGTTCCATCTTGAAGCAAAATTTTACGTAAATTTCAGAAATACGTTATTCCAAAAAAAATTTCGCTTGAAGATGGAACAGAGCTCACTTTAACTCAATTTAATTCAAATAATTATATTGAAGTTTTCGACTCTTGTTTTGTAACATGAGACCTCTTATGTCGCGAGTTGGAATCATATTTTTAAATAAATAATTATATTTATGCTCTACTTTTGTATCGAGCACTATTTTTTAAAAATAATAACTAAAATACTAAGGAACTTTGGATTACTTACTGTTGTGGTACGATACACCTAATTTACATAAGTGGAGTACCGACCATATAAATATGGGTTGGTACCGGAAAAAAAGGCAAGAAGAAGAGATCGAATCGAGAGACTCTGCCCGACTGCTATTTAGTCAACCCATTCTACAGGAACAGTCTTCCCAAGAATATACCAAAACTAACTGTAAATATTGTGTACCTTTTCCTTGTTTCAATACATTTTGTTTACGTACATTTTGTGTTGTATTATTATTATTCCATGCTTATCCAAGTTTCAACACTTACCTAACCAGTTCCTTCCTATTTTCTATATATTTTCACATCTTATATATATATATATATATATATATATATATATATATATATACTACTAATAACCCACTGAATGATATATATATATATATATATATATATATATATATATATATATATATATATATATATATATATATATATATATATATATATATATTCATTCACTGGGTTATTTGTAGTATAATGCTTATAATTATGTCTACTAGCGAAGGGATTTCGCCAATAATTGCATTAATATTGCTAATTGATTCAAGGTATGATTAACTCTTTGTAATATATATATATATATATATATATATATATATATATATATATATATATATATATATATATAATGTGTCTGTGTATAATTTTATTTTTATACACTTTACGAAATAACCTAACCATCTGTATCAGTCTTTAATATAATGTCTGCAGAAAACTTCCTGTCATGAACCATTTCTAAAAAAATTTTTTTCGCTTAGTTTGAATTTAACGTAGATCATGTTCGATTGGTTGATCAAGGTAACGCCCTCAAGCCTATTTTTCTCGGAAAAAAAGAGGAGGTATTTTGCTTTTGAAATTAAATTAATCGTTCAATCGCCAGTAATTTGCAATCAACTGAGGAGACACATTGATATGCGTTGAAACACGACCGTAATAGTGTTGCGATTTTTAACATGTTTGTGATTTAATATCCTAAAGTGAATAATATTTTGCTCTACTCTGTATTTAAGCATTCTTTTAAATTAAATGTTACGAACGTTGCAATTGTACTCTATTCTTTCTCATCATATATATATATATATATATATATATATATATATATATATATATATAATACTTTTTTTCTTTTATACGTTGTTTTTATAGATACTATTTATTTAAGTAAATGCTCTGTTTTTTTTTGTTTTTTTTTTAATAAACAGTACGAATTACATTTACCGGCCTGAATGTTTGAGAAATTTCGTAGAAAATATGCGTTTTCCGACAGGAATTGTACCTTTGTCCTATACGGAACCGTCAATTGATCTGACGTGTTATACCACTTAGCTACAGAGAAGCGTCTGGCTAGCAATGTTCAAAGTGCTGTTTATAAACAATAAATCTTCGACGATCTTTTCCGAACGATCTTATCTGCTCAGGAAACGTACTTGAACGTAAACATTGAAAATATATTATGAAATCGATTAAGTCCAACAATTATTCAATATATTTTTTGTTTATACGTTATTTTTATAGATACAATTTTTTAAGTAAATGCTCTGTTTTTTTTTATAATATAAAACAGAGCATAATACACATTACCATGGTGAGTGTGAAGGCAGACCCCCAGTAATTTTTTGCATTTCTTTTCCTATTTCAATGTTGATATGATGTTCTTTACAGCTTTTGTAATAAACATCCAGAAACTAGATACGTGTTACCATGGTGAGTGTGAAGGCAGACCCCCACGTTATTAGTAATCTTTTGATTTATTTTTTCTTTCAATTTTGATAAGATTTCCTTTACAACGTTTTTAACAAACAACTATGGATCCGATACGTATTATAACAGAGAGTGGGGATGCGATCTCTACAGTATTAACTTTCATTTATTTTCCTCTTTCCATTTTGATATGATTTTCTTTACAGCTTTTGTAATAAACACCCAGAAATTACATTAAGATTAACATTA